TCTGAGGAGATAGTAGTGGCACCAAACCACGAGTCGGGAATGAAGACTGCAGATACCCTGCGGGTACTATCAGGACACCTTGTGCAGACACCACGGTAGATGGTTTCTTTTTCTTGTGTAGCTAATTTGTGTTGATTAGATAGTGCAGGCTAACCGGTAGTGCTCAGCTCCCCCCTCCCTCCCCAGCCCTCAGTGCAGAATGCTCGATAGCTGGCTTGTTAATAGTAAGACAAATTCTGCTTCAAAAAGTCCAGTTCATCTTTCTTGTTTGGAAATTTATTAGCCTGCAGATAAAATCTCAGTGTATTATTTAGTTGAGTTGACAAGATTGTTTTGTTTTATACATATCTAAGAAATGAAATTTTAAAAGCCAGTTAACCAAACTGTAGCACATTTTCTTGCAAGAGTTTGTAGATGGAGTTGGGGGTGATTCTTCCATTAGAAAGCGAACTAAACGTTCTGTAAAGGACGGGCACACAGATGCTAGCATGAGTGTGAATACAGAGCTGTGGCCATGGTATTCTGAGCACAGATGGTCGTTTCCCCCATTGTTGCCGTGTGACTCCATGAGGGCCACGTGACTGGAGTCAGGGCTTAAAGAGCACCCTCAGTAAGTGCAGGGGGTGCTTTGGATGGTGCTGTGACAGATTGTGGCCACTGTGTTAGCAGCACTCCCCTCATAATGTATCAGGGAGTCTCAGGAAGGTTTTTTGTTGGTTTGGTTTTTTTTTTTTTTACGTTAAAAACTGCCAAAACAACTGGACAAATGCAAAGCAAGTCAGGGAGGAATGGTTCTACAGAAGAGCCCTTTAGGAAGCATAGCTTTTTGTGTTCATTTCCCTAATTCTATGGTGTTTTCTATCTGTCTGGCAGAGATCTTGTACAACCAGATAAACCTGCAAGTCCCAAGTTTATAGTGACGCTGGATGGTGTCCCCAGCCCCCCAGGATACATGTCAGATCAAGAGGAAGACATGTGCTTTGAAGGAATGAAACCAGTAAACCAAACTGCAGCCTCAAGCAAGGGACTCAGAGGTCTCCTCCACCCACAGCAGTGGCAGTTGACGAGCAGGCAGCTTGAGGACCCAAATGGTAGTTTTTCCAACGGTGTGTTGAGAGCTCAGATGACCCCTCTCCATGGGGCTGGCTTTGTGGAGGAATCTTTGATGTCTTCCTCTGCCTTGAATGAATATTTGTTGGAGTCTTTGTATTTTCTTTCTGTCCAGGTAGCCTTCATAATTCCTTTAGGTAATGCTGCCAGTTAACTGTGAGACTGACCCCCGTTTTAACGCGCAATTCCGCCACAGCACCACCCTAATTCTGCTGTGGAAGAATAGATGCTTGTTCTTCGTTCTTCTTAGAAACTATGCTTATTTATTTCCCTCTTTACTAGCAGTGGGATCTCCTTTAACTTTTGAGAGCAAAATTAACTTGGCTTTTCATGCTGTTCCTATCAGTTTTCTATTTCCTATCACTGAGGTATTTTTGAAAGGAGAGTCTTGCTTGATTTGTCAAGATACCTATTGAAGGTTTAGGAAGGACAGATGTTGGAAATGTTTTACATTGGATAGTAAATATTGGGCCAAAGGTAAATGAAGGTGAACTCGATAGATTCAGGCGCCCACCTCCAGGCAATAGGAGCTTCCTGATGCCAGACCATCAGTTCCTTGATGGTCCCATGTAGTGCAGTTAACTGGTCTTTGATTCACAATAGAGGATGAGATTCATTCTCCTCGTTCTTCTGACATCTTTAGAGAACCACCTTCACATGCGGAGAATAGAATGTGAATCCTAAAAGTGAATTGTTAGAAAAAAGTAGTAACAGATGATAAAAGATTTCCCGTGTAATTCACGAAATGTCGTTGTTCAGAAAATGTATTCAGTACCTTTTCTGATCCTGAAAGAGACAGTAGAGATTAGGAAGAGACCATGAGTGTGAGCGATTGTTCAAACAAAAGCGTTCCTGCAGGGAGTTGGTCACGGGTGTCATGGATTTGATAAATGCAGGAAGTTGTGACACTGACAGTTTAACACTGTGATGGGAACAGGCAGGGAATTTGTCACTGAAATGCCAAGATCTCTGTATCAACAGTAAGAAAAAGAATAAATTTACCACTAGAAGTGACAGGAAGTTTAAGAATCAGGCAGTACAGATTTCTTGATGCTGTATTTTTCTAAAATGAGAGAACATTCTGATGTTCTCACTGTTGATGATTTTAAATATGGTAGAATGATACATACATTTTGACATGGTGAGGTCTCTTTTTGTTTAAATGAGGACTTCACTGCTATAGGTGTCCCAGCAGTGATACGTGGATAACATTTGTGTGCAGACTGACACAGAGGCTCCGTCGGTGCCATGGCCATTGTCTGGTCAGTGGTGAGCTGCCTTTCCTGCCCCTTTGATTGGGGTCACCTCCTGCTCAGGAAGGATGCTTTGGCCCTGGCCTCCATCACTCTGCCCTTTCCAGCTGCGAGTCTGAACCCTGCGGCCTCTTGCCCCTTGTATCGGGGCTGCCATCAGCGGCGGCGGCAGCATCAGCTCTGTCCGTGTGAAGCCCTCTCTGCTGGGCAGCACACGTTTTACAGCTCTCCGTGTTAAGTGGCTCTGCTTCTTGACACTCAGTCAGGAGGTGTTTCACTAGCTTATGATGGGAATCTCAGTTGAGGGCCTCTGTATATATGACTTAACACATTCAGTGGCAAAGTCTTTAACTGCTGTAACATTGGTCCTCAGTACTCAGCTACTCACTCTCTAGCCAAGCTGCAGTCGGTCCTTTTTCATGTGTACTGGCCTCTCATGCAGGCACCATAGTCTAATATGTGTTGTGAGAGCAGGTGGCTGCTGTGTATGGTCGAGTTGGAAGGACCCTCAAACCCTCCAGTGGGTTTTCATAGGAGATTGCCCATTGTCCTCCTGTGGTACAGCTGGTAGACTCGACCTGCATGCCTTTGTGATTGCAGTACAGCTTCTTACCATGAGAACACCAGAGCGTGGGTGATACAGAACCATTGAAAAGTGAGAGGAAATCCCTCCCTCCAGCTCTGTCAAATTTTCTTTCACACTAAGAATGCTTTTATAGCCCAGAGTCAAAATAACCTCACTGGCTGTTTCTTAAAGCAGCATGAGAACCATGTGTAGCAGGTGTGGCTGCAGCGGTCATTCGGTGATGTTGCCATTTGGGCTGTGTGACTGATTGGTGCCTTCACACCTGCAGGAAGCACTTGAGACCAGCCCGGCTTGGACTGAACGCGCTGGCAGTCCACACACACAGCTGCCGCTGCCACCGAGTTAGAGTTGGTGCCGCGTTTGCAATCATTGCCTGTAATCGCCAAACTGAGGATCTGTTGTTTTCTCTTTGTATAGATGAAGAAAGTCAAGTTCAGAAATGTTAGGAAACAGCTGTATGTGACTCGGCTAGTAAGTTAAAGGAGTCAAATTGGAATTGCCCAACTCAGGCTGATGGTGAGCAGAAAGGCCGAGTGTTACTTCATTTCATAAACATGAATATAAACCACAGTATTTAGTACATGAAAGGGCAGGATGAAGTAGTGGAGCTAGAAATGAGCAGTTATGTTCTAGAGGTGTACTTGTGTTTTGTTCAGTACTTTATAGTTGTCAGCATTAAGGTAGATGTGCGCTTTTTGAGCAGTAGACAGATGTCAGCACAGACCCTTTTCCGTGTCAGAGCGTCACCCGCACACTTTGTGACTCAGTGGCCGTGGTGGGGCTGCAGCTGGTGGGTGGGCTGCCGCTCACACTTGTAAGTGTCCACCTCTGTTTCAACATGATACGTTGTTGCCCTTGACAGCCTTCCACCGGCCTGCCTGGGTCACCATATGGTGGTGGTCTGGTGGCCTGTATGAAATCGTGTCTCACCCATTTAGGCAGGAAAAGTCGTCTTCTCATACACTGTGCGTTTTATCTCCACAATGACATACTACCTTAGTCAGTGGAATCTTCCCTGAATGTCAGTTATTAAAACAGCCTTCTCTATCTCATACTGAACTCAGTTTTGAACCAAGACTGAGAATTAGAGTTTAGCACGAGCACTTTGGCTTTCGGGACACACTCACTGTCCTAGAACTCATTCGTGGTGAGAACTGCCGTCTGTTTTCTGATAAATCTTAAAGGCTTCTGTTACCAGTGTTCATCAGATTATTTGGGCTTATTTATTTTGTGTCACTATAAATAAAACATATAAAAAATATGTATTTAATGAAGACTGGGGATTAAGGGAATTTCATGAAAGGTCATGTATTGCATTAATCATAATAAATGAGATGCTTTAATTCCTTTTCCTTTGTAGTTGAGATAAGTGAATTGACTGTGGCACAGAAACCAGAGAAACTTCTTGAGCGCTGCAAGTACTGGCCTGCGTGTAAAAATGGGGACGAGTGCGCTTACCATCACCCTGTGTCACCTTGCAAGTGAGTCACAGGTCACTGAGGAGTGTGGCCTCACGTCTCTGTCTGAGAGCTTGTTTACTTGTCTCATCCGTGAGCAAGGTAGAATAGCTGGCTTTGTAACAGAATGCAGTGGTACATCACCATCGTCCTCCCAGAATGGAGTGCTTCCCTGTGCATCCTCTTGGGGGGCTGCAGGGGATGGATGTGAAGCTCCTTTCTGCTCCCACCTGTGAGGAGCTGAGAGGGCTGCTTTCCTTGGGGCTTCTGTACACTTAAGGAGCTGTGTCTGTGAATCCTTCTCGTTTTTATATTCTGGGTTCATAAATATTTACACAGATACTAAACTGGGGAAAATTTAGGACTTGGGTTACATTTTCTTAACGCTTGACTGGTTCAGACTAATGAGCTTTGTGAGAAGAATTTTGGAAGTTTTTTATTTATTTATTATTATTTTAGTCCTGTGGGTGGAATCAGTCCACATTCTAACTCTTTAGGGAAATTTTGGATGTGGGAATAATAAAGATGCACAGATAGGGAAACCAAGGTTGAATCTCTGTAGTTTTAATTTGGTGCCTTACACATGAATAATGCCAACTCATTCTGTTACATTTCTTTTAGAAATATTACAAAATGGACTTTACAGAGGGGTGATGTGAATCTAACACAAATAAAGCTGTTTGTCATGGTGGGTTGACCTGCACTGACAATGGTTGGTGTTAACCTCGGCTCTGAAGTAGACCACTATGTCCTGTTTGATATCTTGCCTCATTAAAACTGGAGTGTTTTTTTCCTGTTACCTCTGTGCTGCTCAGATTAAGTAGTAATGATAGTGTATAAGGACGTCTTAAATGAGAATACACTTTTTTGTTTCACAGAGCCTTTCCCAATTGTAAATTTGCTGAAAAATGTTTGTTTGTTCATCCAAATTGTAAATATGATGCAAAATGTACTAAGCCAGATTGCCCCTTCACTCATTTGAGTAGAAGAATCCCGGTACTTCCTCCAAAACCAGGTGGGTGTATTTATGCGCACTACGTGTGAGTGAACAATGGAAACTTGCTGCTATGTGATTGTAAACAGAATAAAGAGAAGGAAGAGTCATGTTAGAAACCATTTTGACAGAATCAGTTAATATAACCAGTCTTTAAAAAACAAAGTAATCTGCTTTGTAATAGACTGAAGTGGCCTGTCTTGATGTTATATATATATATATAAACTGTCATGTGACTTTTAAAATGGTTTGTGCCCCCGTAAAGCCATCAGTAGATTTGATCAGTCTTTGTCCTTGTGTCAGCAGTTACACCAGCAGCATCGCCTTCTAATACTCAGCTCTGCCGCTACTTCCCTGCTTGTAAGAAAATGGAATGTCCCTTCTATCATCCAAAAGTAAGAATTTTTTATTTTCCTGATGTCAGTTTAGTGGTAACACCTAAATTCCGAGATGTAGAAGATACCTAGTAAATCTTACAGCATTTATTTTGTTTTGTTTTCTTGATAGCTTCTAAGGCCTCTAAGTTATCGCTTGGCCCCACTGTGGCCTCTTAGACCACACATCTTGAAACCAACATTAGTGTCCTTACACTCTCCGGAAAGGAGGCCCATCTTTGCTATTTTCCATTCTTGTCTTTCTCCAGTCCTCAGGATGTATACATATGGTGTTTTGCTTTTGTTTTGAACCTTACGTTGGAACTGAGATGGAGAAGTGGAATGGTACTGCTTACTCGCCTCCTTCCATGTGTGACAGTGCTGAAGATGGAGGGGATGCTGAAGATGGGGTTGTGTAGTGCACTGGTGGCTTGGGCATGCTCTCTCCACGTAGCAGCCACATGACCATCTGATAGACCTGCGTTTCCCCCAACCTGTAACTGGCCAGAGATGGTGATGTGTGCAAGGGATACTGGGCACGGCATGCTGGTTACAAGAAATTGGTCTTAATGCTAAGCTGTTGTTGATAGCTGTCGAGGTCAACTCATAGCAACTCTATGAACAAAAGACCTAATGCCTTTCCATAGCTATTGTTGTTTCTCCAAGTTCATAAAGAGTTTCCAGAGGCGTGCCAAGGCTACTTTTCAAGTTTCCCTTGCTGTGATTGTGTCTTGGGGGATTCACAGAGCAAGGCTTTAGGAGTCTTAAAAGTCAAATTCTGGACCACATCTCTTGTGTGATTCCTGCTTGGGGCAGGTTGTCTTACTCCCATCTCAGATTGGTGTGTGTTTACGTCTGTTAACTGTGCAGGTATTACTGACACGGTGTTCTCTCTAGCACTGCAGGTTTAATACTCAGTGTACAAGACCTGACTGTGCATTTTACCATCCCACCATTACTGTCCCACCACGACATGCCTTGAAATGGATTCG